ATTCCCATAGACCACGGCTTCAAAGCCCGGAAAACATTCCTAAATGTGATTTAACCGGCCGTGAAAGCCTTCATAGCCTGATAAAACAAAAACAGCTTGCCTGTGTACAATGACGACCTCAAGCCCGATCAGGCCCTAGAAATAGCCTACACAAGGCATCATCTGAGTACTACAGTAAACCTTCAGTATTTGAGCAAACTTACCGATTCCGGCTTAACTTGGGAAACCCCGGGTAGTTTTTGTGATGGCACTGTGATGGGCAGTAGTGGGAACCACGCGTTAGTGGACGGCGCGCTGACAGCCATTAAAGAGGGGTTTTTCTCCTGTTCTTTGGCTTTCGTGTAGGCTCCCAGATTCATCAGCTGCATGGTGGAGGGCAAAAGACAGCCGAACAAAGTCTGAACAAAGCCTGCATTAAAACCCCAAATAGTACACGCAAAGTCAACTCACTTGCGATTGGCTGACAGCCTTGCGAACGTTGTTCTGCAGATAAGAGTAGAAAACGTTTAGGTCAAACGGGTCGATTTTGCTACGCAGCTTATCACAGATAGTTTGGGCTAGTTTGACCATTTGCGTGTTTTCTCTGGGCACGCACAGAGTTGCCAGAAACCTAACGTCCAGTAAGGCCTGCAAGGCCTGGTTTTGATTCAGCTCTTCCGTAGCGACTTGCTCATATTCTCGTAATATCACATACATGTTTCGTTCGATGAATTGCAAGTGAACGGACTTGGGCAGCGTATACGGCAGGACTTTACTTAGATCCTCGTTGAGCATGACCAGGACGTTGGACAACGGAATGCTGGGTTTTAAGGGCACTTTGATTTGCGACTTGAATGTCTTCTCCTCGGCCTGTTCCTGGATTTCGATCTCGTCCCATCTCTAAAATTAAATTCCGCTGAATTAAAGTGAAATTTGGCTTTCTGGGTCAAAACTACGCGAATTTCCTCACTCATGTGGTTATTTCTGAATCGAGTTTTCAATTCTCTATCAAACGATGCCAAAACGAATTCTGTGGCTCAAATAGTTCTTGAGAAACTTCAAAAAAAGCAGCGCCTTGTTTGAGTCGGTTTTGCATCTCAACAGAAAAACACGCAAATTTAAAACTTTCTGAAACGAAGACTTTTTGGGAAAACTGTCAACATTTCCTTATCGATAGTTCACTTTCTCAAAGGGCCATTTAGTTCT